ACGCTGAGATTTCCAAGCAGTATACTGGTACGGTGCTTGAACATTGTCCAGTCAGCCTTCTTGTAGTTCCACCTTGGCAGCGTACTCGTTTCTCTAACCTTTTCATTTTCTACATTCAGGAAGACCGGTCGATGATCACTGCCTCCCAGTTGTTTTCCAACAACTCGTGTAATGTTCCATTTCAGATCTGGAGAGTGAAATGCTAGGTCTGGGGTAGTAGTGGTGTGCCACTACCTCGAGTAGAATGTGGGTGGATCAGTTGGCCTATTAATCAGAACAAGTCTGTTCTCATCCTGCCACTCTTCCAGTTTCTCTCCTCTCTGGTCTATGTGGTCGTACTCCCAGCTTTGTGAGTGGCTGTTAAAGTCTCCACATAGAATCATCTTTGCTTCTACTAGGATTGTGTCTAGTGTTTGGGGACGATCACTTGGGCAGTAATAATTGCTCAGGTAGAAGTCTGCATTTCCAGTTCGTAGTTTTAGAATCTGATATTCTGCTCCATCCATATATACTTCAGTCTGGCAGGCAGTGATATTGTTCCTCACAAGAGTCAGTATTCCACCCTTTTTCCTGCCTTTCCGGTCTGATCGGAAGCACTGATAACCTCTGATTTTGAAGACTGTGTCTTCGGTGAGGTGGGTTTTCTGTAGACAGCATATATGTATCTGTTCCTCGTTATATTTTCAAACTCTAGCTTTTTATTTGTAATCCCCTCCGCATTCCAGTGCATTATTTTGACTCCTTTCTTAGCTCGGCCAGATGCTCTATTCTCATGCCCCCTGGCTCCACAGGACATTTGAGAAGGACCTCCAGTAATTTGTTTTGGGCCTCTTCGAGGCAGAGGACCCGGCACTGCTCCTGCCTGTGTGTCCATCACAGGGCGAGCATCATATCGTTTGCTGATATAGACATATTTCCATGGCGTGTGTGCATGGCATCCTGATTGCTGTGGTGCGCCTCCTGGCTGGTTGCCTCCGACTTCAGCACCTTGTTTTGCAAGGGTAGACTGTGGTCATACCCGAGGAGAATATGCTCATCCCTTCGTCTTTCGCCTTTACCTCGTTTGTTGTCCCTTCCAGTTTCCCACTGTGGGTTGAAACCCCAGCCTTCAACTGGATTGCTGGGAAGAACAGGGTCCACCACGTGAAGGTGAGGTAGGCTTGAGCAAGAGAGGCTAATAGACATTAAGAGTCATTGCTCAATTTTGGCAAGTTTCCTTGATGTTTAGACCTTGTAGGATATCATCTAATATAAATCATCTTCATTTTCGTTTTGGGAATTGTTTTTCGCCTCAGTGACCAATAATGTTTTTATTTAACTACAGTTTGTCAACTGTCGTGCTCATTGGCTGCTCTGAGGTGGAATCTGAGGAACTGCAGCTTCTGAATGCGCAGGCGCACCAGCCGCATAGTTAGTTTCCCTTGTGCAAAAACACATTTCCGAGATAAGAAGCTGCAGCTCCGCAGTGCCTCCCCAGGAGCACAGAAACCACCATATATCCCACACATCTGTCATGTCCACCTTTTTTTTTTTTCTGAGCACTGTCTTTTCTGTGCCGTAAGCCCTTTCCACTTGTACTTTGGCACTATATTTCTACATTTCAATGTTGTTTTCATTACTACGTTTCTTTTTGTGGATCTGCTTTGAGCTGCAACCAGGCAGCACCAATTTAGCTAACCCCCCCCCCCCCTCCCCTTTCCCCCTTTTTTCTTCTCACTCCTGTCTCCATATTACTGTGACTTATAAGTGATAACTGAGAAGCAGACACACTTCTATGGTCGCACATGCACATTTGCACTCGCACATACACTCATTATTAGATGACAAAACTACGTAGAGTTCATATTTAGTGACTAGTGCCTAAGATAGTGAGCTAAGTACTGTTTGCAACATTGTGTGCTGTGCATTTTGTGAGGAATGCCTTTCGCCTGCACCCATGCGATTTGTGCTGCGATATTCGGAATATGGCAGTTGATCCGTATACCTTCGGGCTAGCGAAGTGCCCTGTACAGTAATGTAACGTGTGTACCGCTAGCTTGTCTTGACTGGCTGCTTCTGTCAACGTCAGATTGCAGTACTGGTCCCGATTGTCAGTGCTGGCGCCTCTGGCGACTTGCGCTAGTGTTCACTAAAACCGATCAGGATCAGAACTGGTTGTGCTACTGACAAGATAGCCCATAGTGAAGTAAGGGTTACAGTGCCGCCAATCAAAACAGACTTGCACAGTTAGTTACCTTTGACCGAGGATGTCGAAAATGGATAGTTAGTGAAACAGAGTCAGCGGTGCAAGAGCTTATTAATGCAAATTAACTCCCGGGTGACATCATAGTCTATACAGATAGGTCTGAAGTTATATGTAAGAAGAGTGGATTGGGTTTTATTGCGACGGTGAATGGACACTGCTTGAAAACAGAAAGCCTCACGTACACCATCACTAAATTGCAACATCACTACATCCAGTATGAGAATGGAGGTGGAGGCAGTAACTAAAGCTTTTCAATGGCTTGAGAACAGCACAGCCCCACATGCTGTTATTGTAACAGACTCACAGAGCATGCTTCAGAAAATGTAACTGGTATCCTGCGCGCAAAGTGGCTTGCCTCACTCGATAAGACCTAGACCAAGGATCTTTCATTGTTTTTCTGTCCAGATATTCAGGTGTGTGAAGTAACGAGCAGTTTGATAGATTGGTCTCTGGGCGACGAGCTACTGTTTGATAAAGCGAATATGGTGAATTCTCTATGAGATCAAATGGACAGTGCAAAAGAACAGATCGCGAATCCATTCACTGAAAGATTAATGCTGTGTGGGGGGTGGTGGTGGTTTGGGAGGGGGGGGGGTTGGGGGGGGGCGGGTTAGAGGTTCTGGAAGATCTTCAACATTGAAGGGGAAGCAGGGGCGGGAGTTTGATCAGACTGCAACTGGTAGTATTACCAAGTCAGCTATTCGTTGCTGATGAAGGAGGTGGAACACGTGTGGGAATGTCCTGTGTGGAGTAAGTTCAATTTGTGTTTGATTCATTCATTCAATCATTCATTCATTTACTGGCAGCAGAATGGAGGGATTACCAGGTGATCATTTACCTACTAGTACAGTCTCAGAATATGAAGCTCTGCTAGTAATCACTACAAAACGGAACAGGGCTCATATTTTAGTCAATAAACTGTGTGTAAACAAGTCAGTTAACAAGTTTATTCAAAGAACATCTAATTAGTGAACACCACTTAACATTTAACAGATTCATTCTAAGAATGTTGAATTACTGATTGTCATTTAACATTAAACAAATATAAATAAGGGAACCATGGTAACGCAGTGACTAAACTCTCGCCTTCCGGCCCAGATGTCTTGTCTTCGAATCCACGCCAGTCGGATTTAAAAAAAAAAAAGAAACAAAATGACATTGGCTCACATCTCGATTTAGCCTAAAATGGGTACCAGGAGATGTCCGAGGAAGTAAAGGTGACCGGGGGAAGGCAATGTTGATAACATTACCCATCGATTGCTGATTGGTCAATAATAATATGAGTCTCAAATCGCATGTCCTTTCCAGGTTGATCCAACCTTAAATAGATACCAGGTAAAGTCCTAGAAAGTAAAAGCGGACGGCGTAATGTTGAGCACATCACCAACCAATTGTCAATTGGATTATACAATTAAGGTCTAGCCCTATATGCCCAACACGCCTGGCGTGGAAAAGGATGTTTTACTTAGTTTCTTTCTGTCGCATGCTCGTTGCCTCACTATGATGAAACCGACCACACCTGTTGCGTCATAATATAATTTTGCTTTAGTTAAGTAAACCAGTACCATATATCTTGAAACTAGAGCCAACAAACATGTTTAAATGTAATTTTCGTTTTTTGCACACCAGAATTAGTTAAGATCAGCTATTTCATGTCTGGCTGCATTTTGTTGTTGTTGTTGACTAGTGTAATCTGTTCTCACCATGAGAAACCTATCTGTAAATGATCTCTTCTGCTGAGTAGCTCATGGTTAGTTGCGTATCCTTTACAGGACGTTGCAGAACCAACCACAGCAGCTCCTGGCTATTGTGTGGTTTCCCTAGGCAAATTTACGTCCAGTAATTTGCTATTGCCTGCTGGACGGTCGGCCCCCTGATACCACTGTCGAAACCAACACAAGGCGCATGGCCCTCAGCTGGGATCGAACCCGGTACTGGGGTTGGTTCTCCATTCTCATGCTAGATGTTGTGGTGTCAGATGCTAGGCTGTCTTGCACTGAAGATTTTCTATTGGCTTTCGCTATGAACCCCCAGGCACTTCTCTCCTCTCAACACCAAACCATCTGTATAGTTAATCAGATCACCTATGCGTGAATTGTCGTGAATCAACTGTTGGAATTCAACCTCCGTAGCACCCGCCGGTCACTCTCTGCACACCGGGCCAATTGTTATCAGGACCCTACACAGGTCAGACTTTCGATGGTTTCTTACTTACTTAGTCGCTGCTCTTTTACCTTGGGATGTAGAGGTTTGCCAGAGAGATCGCCAGACGTCTCTATCAGCAGTTTTTGTTTTCTGGCTTTGTTCCATTCCAGTTCTCTGTTAGTTAGGGACTGTCGGATGTTGTCTTCCCAGCGCACCCTGGGTAGTTTTGGAGGTCTGGTTCCCTGGTTCTTAGCCTCCCATGCCTGCCATGGTGGCCGATTTTCTACCATTTTGCATACATGTCCAAACCATCGTAACTGTGACTCGGGTTTGTAAGGACTTGGTATCAAGAATTTGACGAATTATCTGATTGCGGTCTTTGTCCCTTCTTGTCACTTGGACCACTTTTCTCAGGTATATAATTTCCGAGGCCTGCAGCTGGCTTCTGTGAGCTGTTGTCCTTTCGCTGGTTTCGCAGGTGTAAACTAACTGGGAACCACGGTACAAGACTATTAACCTAATAATGTTATCATCAATTACAGTAGTAATGTACATACCAGAAAACGAACTTATTTATGTAAAACAGTAATGAAAACAGGCATTGCTTGAACTAGACCATGGAGAGATCCCTTTCATCTTGATAAAATGACGTTCTGGCACCTTCAGGTTTGTACCAGAACATGCGTATGGCCCTGTCGAATAGAAAAGAAAGCCAATGAAAATAAATTACATAGCGTGCACACAGTGTGTGCAGGAGTGTCAATGAAAGAATGAATACGAAATCACGAAATCAGACGAATGCTAGGAATAAAGCCAGTCTTAGAGGTCATCAAAGAACAACAAATGAAGTGGTTTGGACACCTAACAAGAATGCCCTGGTACTATCTGCGACAGCGAGCCACACTAAAACGTTACAATGGGTATAGAACGAGTGAAAGACCTCGGAAATTATGGAGTGATGGCATTAAGAACAGCCTTACAGAAATGAACATCAGTCTGAGTAGTGCTCTTGACAGAGCTCAACAGTGAACGTTACCTCCCCCCCCCCCCCCCCCCCCCCCCGACACTTTGATGAGGTACATTATGGAGGAGAAGAAGAAGAAGAAGAAGAAGAAGAAGAAGAAGAAGAAGAAGAAGAAGAAGAAGAAGAAGAGAAGAAGAAGAAGAAGAAGAAGAAGAAGAAGAAGAAGAAGAAGAAGAAGAAGAAGAAGAAGAAGAAGAAGAAGAAGAAGAAGAAGAAGAAGAAGAAGAAGAAGCAGAAGAAGCAGAAGAAGAAGAAGAAGAAGAAGAAGAAGAAGAAGAAGAAGAAGAAGAAGAAGAAGAAGAAGAAGAAGAAGAAGAAGAAGAAGAAGAAGAAGAAGAAGAAGAAGAAGAAGAAGAAGAAGAAGAAGAAGAAGAAGAAGAAGAAGAAGAAGAAGAAGAAGAAGAAGAAGAAGAAGAAGAAGAAGAAGAAGAAGAAGAAGAAGAAGAAGAAGAAGAAGAAGAAGAAGAAGAAGAAGAAGAAGAAGAAGAAGAAGAAGAAGAAGAAGAAGAAGAAGAAGAAGAAGAAGAAGAAGAAGAAGAAGAAGAAGAAGAAGAAGAAGAAGAAGAAGAAGTACACAGTCCTTACAGACATCATTCGTCAAACAGCTGAATTACCCAATAGAAGTTAGTTGCGTATCCTATACAGGACGTCGCAGAACAACCCTAAGCATCTTTTGGCTGTTGTGATTTTTTAAGGCAAATATACGTCCAGCAGTTTGCCATTGCCCCTGGACGGTCGGCTTCTTGATACAACTGTCGAAACCAACGAAAGGCCGGCAGCTTTGACCGAACCCAGCATTACGAAGCGCGTTCGCAACTCCTAATCCACAGACGCCGCCATAAGCAAGTGGTGAAAGGCGATTTGCTGAAATCGTACTTTCTGGGTCGAAAGGCGCGGTTATTGCAGCTTAGCGGTAAATCCCAACACGACGTGCCAAGCACCCTTTTAAGAGCGACCAAAAGTGTTTCAGTTTCCGCGGTAAGATGCTAATTACGATAATACTATATACAGAGATAAAAACAACGACGGTGAGTCGACAACATTCTAAAGACAGCAAGAACTTCAAGTAAGCAGAGGTGTCGCCAGACAAGAACACTATACAAATAGCCAAAACAGAATATTAAACCAACACCAACGATTGACTGCCTACTTGGAACTACTCGATAAGTTCCTACCAACACTTGGGAGGGTATAGGTTGAATAAAGAGACATGGTTCAATGCTGCAGTCTTTGCCTACGCTGAGGGATATACTGAAGATAGGATCCGAGCGCTTATGGACTTGTCCGATGTGCAATGATGATAATCTGTCGGTTAACTAGCTAACTAAGAAACTAACTAACTTATTTAGTGGCTTACTAACTTACTGACTCATTCATTCATTCATTCATTCATTCAGTAGCATGTCCCTCGCGGAACCTCGCTGCCATAACAACCCTCCGGAAAACCTTCCTATCATGAGCAAGATGTCCTGCGTCTGATACACCCATCTGGAGATCATCTGCCACATCCTGCACCCATCTTCTCCTTGGCCTTCCTCTTCCTCTCTTCCCAGGCATATACCCTCCCCCCCCCCCCATTATTGTTCTCTCTAGACTTCCATGACGTTTCAAGTGACCAAAATATTTCAATTTTTCATTATTTCAATTTCAAATTTCAAATTTCAAAAATATTTCAATTTCTCTTTACTGACTGATTTACTAAAAAAAATGAATGACTGACTAACTGACGACCAACTAACTAAGTGACTGATTAACTAAGTGACTGACTTACCAACTGACTGACTAACTAAGTGACTGACTTACCAACTGACTAATTGACTGATTAACTAACTTGTTTGCTTAATAATTAAATGACTGACTAAATAAAGGACTGACTTACTAACTATCTAACTAACTAAGTGACGACCAACTAACTGACTGACTAACTAAGTGACCGACTAACCAACTAACTAACTGACTGACTAACTAACTAACTGACGACCAACTAACTGACTAAACTTACTAACTGATTTACTGACCAGCTAACTAACAACATTACATATAGACACGCAAACATGTGCTTGTTCAGCCGCTTACTTCAAAGCGTTTTGCTGGCCCTGATTCCTCAGATATTTCACCCGGACCAACCGATGCTTGTGTGTCCGGAGACCAACCATGTACTGCTGGAAACTCTCACTCATGATGGCAATGGGCATGGCAAACAGAATCACCCCAAACATGCCGCAGCAGACAGCGATGATGTAGCCGGGAATGGACTTTGGCACGATCTTGCCATAACCAATGGCGGTCATGGTTTCGTACCCCCACCACGTGGCCAAGGCCACGTTTTTAAAGCTGTACTCGCCAACAGACAACTCGGTGAGGTAGACCAGGGCTCCAAATATGAGGGCAGCCATTAAGGCAGCTAGCTGGAAAAAGTACATGTGCATCATCGCTGAGAGCAAATATCATGTTCGCCAGAGGAGAAAAGCATTTACAAAGTTAGCTCATACCGTGACACTGTAATCTCATACCGCGACACTGTAAGCTCATACTGCGACACTGTAAGTTCATACCGCGACATTCTAATCTCATACCGTGAACCTCTAAGCTCATACTGTGACACTGTAAGCTCATACCGCGACTGTAAGCTCATACTGCGACACTCTAAGCTCATACCGTGAAACTCTAAGCTCATACCGTGACACTGTAAGCTCATACCGTGACACTGTAAACTCATACTGCGACACTCTAAGCTCATACCGTGAAACTCTAAGCTCATACCGCGACACTGTAAGCTCATACCGTGACACTGTAAACTCATACCGCGACACTGTAAGCTCATACCGTGAAACTCTAAGCTCATACCGCGACTGTAAGCTCATACCGTGACACTGTAAGCTCATACCGCGACTGTAAGCTCATACCGTGACACTGTAAGCTCATACCGCGACTGTAAGCTCATACCGTGACACTGTAAGCTCATACCGCGACTGTAAGCTCATACCGTGACACTGTAAGCTCATACCGCGACTGTAAGCTCATACCGTGACACTGTAAGCTCATACCGCGACTGTAAGCTCATACCGCGACACTGTAAGCTCATACCGTGAAACTCTAAGCTCATACCGTGACACTGTAAGCTCAAACCGCGACACTGTAAGCTCATACCGTGAAACTCTAAGCTCATACCGTGACACTGTAAGCTCAAACCGCGACACTGTAAGCTCATACCGCGACTGTAAGCTCATACCGTGAAACTCTAAGTTCATACCGTGACACTGTAAGCTCATACCGCGACTGTAAGCTCATACCGCGACACTGTAAGCTCATACCGTGACACTGTAAGCTCTTAACGAGACTGTAAGCTCATACCGCGACACTGTAAGCTCATACCGTGACACTGTAAGCTCATACCGCGACTGTAAGCTCATACCGCGACACTGTAAGCTCAAACCGCGACACTGTAAGCTCATACCGCGACTGTAAGCTCATACCGTGAAACTCTAAGTTCATACCGCGACACTGTAAGCTCATACCGTGACACGGTAAGCTCATACCGCGACACTGTAAGCTCATACCGTGACACGGTAAGCTCATACCGCGAAACTGTAAGCTCATACCGCGACACTGCAAGCCGCGGATTTCACTTGGAATGCTGTTCGGCTGTGTAGAACTCGGCTTGTAATGTGAACTGTAGATTTAGTAAACACAGAGTGGCCTGTTGCCACAGAACTATTGATGCCCTAATAATAAATGTTATCTATGTCAATCTATCTATATATCCAAAAACATCTCTCTGTATTTCTCCTAACATATCTCCATATACATCTCCATGTATGCCCCCCCCCCCCCCCCCACATATCACAAATCTCCGTATACATCTCCCTGTATTTTCCCTACGTATCTCCATATATATCTTTCTTCATATCTCCATACACATCTTCCTGTATGTCTCCCCACATGTCTTCGCATAAATCTCCCTTAAGTCTCTCCACATATTTCCATACAATCTCCATGTCTCCCTGTATATTTAATTGGATGTTGTATTGTGTATCCCCCTGTATGTTCCCCTACATATCTCCGTAAAGATCTCTATAATGTCTCCCTAGTTATATCGATATAAATCTCCCTAAATGTCCCTCTACATGCCTAATTATAATCCCCCTTTCTGTCTTCCTACATTTCACATATCTCCAAATACATCTCCCTCTATTTCTCCTACGTATCTCCATATATATCTTCCTTCATATCTCCATACACATCTCCCTGTGTGTCTCCCCACATGTATTTTCATAAATCTCCCTTAAGTCTCTCCACATATTTCCATACAATCTCCATATGTCTTCCTGTATATCTAATTGAATGTTGTATTGTGTATCTCCCTATATGTTCCCTACATAATATCTCCGCATACGCCTTTATGTTTGTCTCTCTACATATCGTCATATATATCTCAATGTAAGAAGACATCCCTGCATGCGTCCGTGTATACATCTATCTGAATGCCTCCCCCCCCCCCCTCTCTCTCCCATACGATTTCCCGTGACCGAATCGTACTCACCATCAGCAGACTTAGAGGGTGCGCGGATGCATGGAGAGACAGCAGCATGACCTTTGTGTATTCATTCCTGTAGAGAACTGTGAATATTCGCAGTACCCGCATGGCCTTGAAGGAGTTCATGGTCACCTGCAGTCGGGGGTCAATGCCATAATTGGTATCAACAGAAGTGCATCTCTACCCCATCTATAAAATCTCTTCGGCGAACACACGGGTACCTCTAGTTTACTGGGAACACTATACTACTGTAGCTTATGTACCACAAATAGTATACGACTATATAGATTGTACTGAGGCCATTTAACACCATACATTGTGTACTGTGTACAATAATGTTTTCTTGCTTACAGGGTATACCACTTTTCTTATAGTCACAGGTTATTAAACTACTATTATTATTTACTGGTAATATTACAATACTTTTCTGGGGTAGTGAGGGCAACAATGTGATATCTGGTATACTGGAGACATATACTACTGGCCATGGCTTATGCGTTGCGAGTCCGACTCGTAATTCCAACGTACCGCGATCGAAACCCACTGCTGGCTGAGTGGATTTTTATCATGGTATGGGGCGTCACAGGTCGACCCAGCCTAAAATAGGTACCAGAATGTGTGTCCTGGGTAAGTAGAGACGGCCGGCGTAATGCTGACCACATTACCCACCTAGTGCCGATTGGTCTGTAAAAATATGCGTGCTCTTCCCATATGTCCATGGGGCTTAAGGCGTGAAAAGGGATCTTGATTTTTCTTGTTTTGCGTATATCTCGTATACTCATTCATTCATTCAGTAGCATGTCCCTCGCGGAACCTCGCTGCCATAACAACCCTCCGGAAAACCTTCCTATCATGAGCAAGCTGTCCTGCGTCTGATATACCCATCTGGAGATCATCTGCCACATCCTGCACCCATCTTCTCCTTGGCCTTCCTCTTCCTCTCTTCCCAGGCATATACCCCTCCATTATTGTTCTCTCTAGACTTCCATGACGTTTCAAGTGACCAAAATATTTCAATTTTCTTTGTTTTCTCGTATACTAGGGATATTAAAATACTGTATCTCGTCCACTGGGATCGTTACACTCTAACAGCTGGCCTCTCGGGACTTTACACTGCTACACAGTGTGTATGTCTAATATTTTGGTTATAATGGGAACGAGAATAAGAAAGAAGTAAAACAAAAAAAAAAAGAAAAACAGAGAAGAAGAAAAAGAACAAGTAGAAAGCAGCAGCAGCAGCAGCAGCAGCAACAGCGGCAACAGCAGTAGAAGTAACAATTTAATATAAAAAGCATGTTGGAGACAAAACATACACAGCATAAATACAAGACTACATCATTTTACACATAACATTGTAATAAGATATCATAAAACACAGAGAGAGACAAGACAAGACGTAGACACATTAGAGAAATAAGACCCCCCCCCCCCCCATCCACCCCCTCCCCCCAAGAAAAAAAACTACAGATGCGGACATAATATAAATACAAGACTAGACACAGGCGCAGTCACATTAAAGGGAAAAAAAAACCTCCCCCGACCCCTTAAAAATAAAGACACATTAGAGAAATGAGACAAGAAACAGGTGCAAGCACATACGAGAAATAAGACAAGAAACAGGTGCAGACACCTTAGAGAAATAATACAACCCCCCCCCCCCCCCACCCCCAAAAAAGAGAGGCTAGGACATATTCGAAAAATGTGACAAGAAACAGACGCAAACATCTTAGAGAAATAAGACACAAAACAAGTTCAAACACATTACACAAATAAGATTAGACATAGGTGCGGACACTTTCGAGAAATAAGATAAGACACAGACACATTAGAGAAATAAAATTCTTTCCCCCTCACCCTCCCCCCCCCCCTTTTTTTTTTTTCTCTCGCAAATAAAAAAAAAAAAAAACAAGTTATGGACACATTAAAGAAATGAGACAAGAAACAGGTGCAGAAACATTTGAGAAAGAAGAAAAACACAAATGCAGACGCAAACTATATATTAAACAATGCAAACAAGCACGTGAACTTACAAAGGCAAGCCGTGGAGACGAAAACTTACTCTAACATAAAATAAGAACTCATTGTAATCATTAAAGGCTTTGATCACGAAATCCTTGCTTAAAAAGATGGTCCAAACGGAAGCCAACAGGATCATATCCATGATGTTCAACTTGCTTCTGTTGGCACAAATAGAAATGTTTCACCGTCACGTGCGGCATTATGACAATCATTCAACACATGGTCACTACAATTTTGATTATTCAGTACACAAGATACTAAAACAGTCACTTACTACACCGGTCATTTGGACAGTCATTCAACATGCAGACACTAATATCATTATTCGTCAATCACTGACACAATCAGTAAACGTGTGTGTGTGTGTGCGTGTATATATATATATATATATATATATATATATATATATATATATATACATATATATATATATATATATATATATATATATATATACACACACACACACACACACATAAAAATATTTATAGGTACGGACCCTGGGGCAATAATTTAACACTCAAAATACAAGTGCATTTTTTTTTTTAAGTTTCCAGAAACCATGAGTTGTTAACCCTTTGGCTCGGTACTATCGATATC